ATCAACCTTTAGAATTAGCAAAGCAAATTACACGAAAATTAAGTTTAAATTTTTGACTTACCGGATGGTAAGTCAAAACAATAAAAATAAGTTGACACTTACCGCTCGATAAACTTTTATACTTCCAAGTTGATTTTTACCATCTATTTTATACTTCCACGATTATATCTCATGCACGGCTTCATGCTGTGTAAATTTAACTTAGATTTTAAATAGTCCGAACTATTTAAAATTATGCTTAACTATAAGTTGATAATCGATATTTATATCGATATAAATGATATTGGATATCGATATTCATTCGATATTCGATATTGATGGTTGATATTTATTTCGAAACTCAAAAGTGTTACACACATGGAATAAATAACGTGGTCCACATATTTATGTCACATGAGATGTAAACTTTAATATTGAGCGTGAAAATTTAGATATAGCTATCATATGAATCACTTATGCTGTCACATGAATTACATAACTCATCTACATAAATATGCTACTTTTTATGATAAAATATTCCCGACAAGAAAGGTATATGTGGCCCACATGCAGCCATAGAATTTATGAGTGGAACAAAAGTGTGAAAATTATATCTAGTTTATGATCGAAATATAATCTAATGGTTAGTTCCCGTCTCATGCTGAACACATACATTATTATGTCAATTAATATGGGGTATTAAATTTAATTAAATTCGTGAAAAAACTGCTCTAATATTCCATTTTACAAACCTTTTAGATTTTGATAATTTTTGTTTGTCTGATTAAGCGGATTTTGTCATGAATATTTTTGAGAGTTGTTATGCAATTTTCGCAAAATGAAGAAAAAAAAATTAACAAAAATTAAAGAAAAAAGCGAAGAAAAAAAATTTCGCAAAATGAAGAAAACAAAAATTGATACATTATGCTTGCTGCAAGAAAGCAATATAAAAAAAAACAACGGGAATTGTTATTAAATGGCCGATGTTGATAGCAAACTTCCTTTGTGGTGTTCGTTTGAAGACATAAAAATGCTAGATAAAGATATTAAGGAGTCTATCAGCGTTTTATTACATAATTTTTTAGAATATGTGGTGTACAACGAATATTGAACAAATAAGTTGGTGATTTTATAAAAATTTTATTTATGTATCTATTTGTGAATAAAATTATAAAAAAATTCAAAAAACATAATTTATTGGTCACTAAGTTTTTAACTAATATACATTTGCGTTTGTTTAAAATTAAGTATTCACTAGCAAATCGGTTCCGTAAAAATACGGGTCTTTACAAATCTATTACATATCAACCTTTTTTATACTTTTTCCTTACATATATATCCTAGTTGTCTTATACGAGTCTTTATCAAACCGACTATTTCTACACTTATCAAATCCACACCAATCATTTCTATATTTATTTCTTATTTACTTCATTTTTTTCTTGTAAAATAGTTTATTCAAGAGTTGTTAACCAGAAGATTTCGTACGATTCCGGAAAAATAATCTTTTGGTAGCATATTAAGAATCAGGAATGTTATTTTTTTTTCGTACCCAATTTTAAGAAACAAAAAAAAAACCGTCGTTGTTTATTTCGCAAATGGTTTTTACGAAATATAGTCTTTCGCAAGTTTAATTACAAAATAAAACTATTTTGCGACATACAAAAGTAGCGCTTACGGAAGTCGGACTTGCGAAATGTTTCTCTTTCGCTAAACGACGTTTTGAAGTCAATATAGAAAATATGTTGGCTATAGCCAACAACAATAAATGGATATAATTGTAAAAAATAAAAATTTTATATATCAAAATGTTTATTAAGAAATTTTATTTTCAGTACTGGAACATATTACCATTTGAAGGCTTTCTTTTTTGAAATAATGATAAAAAAACTATATTTCTTTCAAAACGAAACTATTTCGCACCGCAACTTGCAAAACAGTTTTTTAACGGAAAAAAAACTCACGAAACGCGGCATAATAAATATATTTAATTACGTTTTATGAATTAAATACATATAATTAACTAAGTAACTAAAATACCAATTCTTATATAATATTGATAAGTTTCAGTTGTAAACTTTTATAAATCATATAAGACTTTCATATAATACACTTTTCAGAATGTCATTTTATGAATAAGAATTAAATAATGAAGATAACTTGAACAACATTAACATACGAATACAATTGCGTAATAGGGAAAAAACGCAATAGTTGAAATAAAAAAAGACCTTATATAAGTAATGAATGCTAAAACTTAATTATATATTAAAATACCTAAAAATAACTCTCAAATAGAATGATTTTATATTTAGTCAGTTTAAATTTTTTATTTTTGAGGTGCTCTGTTATATGAACTTCCGCTTTATTACCTTAATAGCAACAAGCAAATTCAAAAAAAATTCAAAGACATTCTTTTCAAAGATATTCTCTAAAATAAAAGTTAGGAAGGTGGTAAAGGCACTTGCTCCCCCTTGTATCACTGAAAAATGTTTTAATACGCAACATCCCAACGTTATTGGGACTATACAACTGCTGAAAATTTTAAAGCTTTACCTATTTTAGAGGGTAGCAAAAAATTAATTGCAAGATTTTATAGCAAAAAAAGGATAAGTTCAATACAATGTATGTATGTATGTATCTATATATATATATATATATATATATATATATATATATATATATATATATATATATATATATATATATATATATATATATATATATATATATATATATATATATATATATATATATATATATATATATATATATATATTATTTTCGTATAATGCATTACGGAAAGTGAGTTTGCGCATGTTCAACTTCCGTAAAAGCAATTTTAGTTACGGAAGATAAAAATGCAAAATTTTCGTAAGTTTTGTTTATCAGGGAACAACCCTAGTTTGTTCTAAAAAAATTGCTTTAAGAGCAAAGAAAACACTACACTACTAACAAAAATATTTAGGCATGACTAAACACTAAGAAAAAAAGGTAAAACAAACCTTATGGGTTTATCACATATCCTACCATTAAGGTGGAAATTTTTACTCTTTATGGTAGAACTTTGTATCCTTAGGGTAACAAATTAAACCACATATGATCATTTTTAGTATAATTTTTAACTTTAAAAGTATAATTTTCTACCTTGAAGTGGTAGGGTATGTGATATACCCTAAAGATAGAAATTTGTACCTTTTTTTTTAATGTTTACAAAAAAAAGTGTAAGTTTTAAGTTTTTTTCTATTTACATTAAATAAATTAGTTGTTAAATTACTTGTTATACGTTATGTATTATAAATTATATTTCGTATTTTATAACTGATTCTCGGTACTTTTATTACTGCCAGTAATAGCCAGTAAGTATAAAGAGCCAGTAATTTACTGGCTCTTTATACTTTTATAATTGGTTCTCCAAAGTACAAGAAGTACACTTGTATTTTGCTTAATACCTTTGCTCAATTAAAATGCCCCATCTTTGATTCGCTTGCTTAACATAAAAACGGATTCAATTTGAGTTTTACTGTTTTTATGGCGTAAAAAACATGAAGTAGCATTTTTCCTGTCAAAAAAAATCTTTTAGAAAAGAATTTTTTAAAGAGAAAAGTTTTTCTCTTCTATGTGAACTTTTAAAAGTTCACATAGAAAACAATAAGTTCGATTAGTGCCAGCAGAATAATAAAGTCATGATCGGTATACCTTTTCACCATTTAAACCTTCATTGTTGTCGATTGACATCAAATGACCTAATAACATGACTGTTTTGACAATTCTCTTCGCCATTTTGCCATTCGCTTGTACAAAGTGTTGATTTAGTTAAAACTTATTATTTTAAACTTTGAAAATAAAAACTTAAAGATAAAAACAACTTGTAGGAAAATACAGTAAAATACAAAAAGATCGACAGTATTCAATAATTGGTCGGTTATTTTTATATTATAATTTTAAAAAGCAACATTTTTTTGTTTGTTACCAAAATAAATACTAACGCTATTAAAAAATCGAATTTTTCCAGGCTAAAACTACGTGTTTCTATTTTTAAGCTAGACTTTGTCTAATGGATGATCCATTACTTAGTTAAGCGAAATGAATGATTCAATTAATATTTGTTGTTTTAAGAACTATTTTAAAGCAAAATTCTTAACAAATCTTTTTTTGCGGACCGTTTTTATGAAAAAAATATTTAAATTTTATTACTAAAAAGAATGTTGTTCACATTGACGGATCCAGTGGGATCATTCCTCGCCAAAATTTTCTGGATCCGTTATTGATTGTTTAATACATTTCTTTAAGAGTTTATTAATACAAAAAGGTATAAATCTAAAAAACCTAAAACAAAATAAATAAAATTTAAAATAAAAGCATAAATAATATAAAAAAAAACTTTAAAATAGTAATCGAGACGAGATACATTTTTCTCTTGTTGGAGTTGTTACTCATCTTTATTCTGCTGAAAATTTTTCATTAATAATGGTGTTAATCGATAATATACCACGTTATATTTCAACGCGTTTTAAATTTTTATCTTTTATTTCATTATTCCGTATTTCTTGCTGTGGCAAGAACAACACAAAATAATGAAATACATAATATCTTTACGTGTTGGCGTGGTTTATCTATTGTAAATATTTATTTAGGGTAAAAAAAAATTTTTACTTGAACATTCTTAGTTTTCAGTGACGCATTATATTAAAGTTTTTATTATGAAAAATATCAAAATTTAATTTTTACAGTTTTAAAACTATTTTTTAAAGATTAAAATTATTTCAAAACTGCAATAAAAGAAAGCGTATTTAAAATGTCTATCAATACTAATCGGAATTATTATTTTTTAAATGCTTTTACTGTATTAGCTTAGAAATAACTTGTTTTGAATATATATAACTTGAATATTTTTTTTTTTGTTTGATCAAGTTCTCTGGTTTTGTAGTGGAGGGTCTCATACATTTTGTTTGGGTTTTGTGTGTATACTTTGTAAATAAAAAATATTTTGCAAATTTTTATACCTAATATTATATTAAAATTATATATTCAGTTTTCTTAATACCAAACCGATAAACATTTTGCTACAAAAGAAGTGATGTTATCTCACAATCGTCTTACCAAGCAGTATTACCTCGGTTATGGAGAGTTAAAAAGATCAGTTTACCTTTGATGTTAAAAAAAAAAAACAATTGTAAAAATAATTATTTCTTGTTTGAAATACGACCTCGAATTAAACTCAAGTTCTTGTCGTGAAAACAAAGAACAATATTTAGTAAGTTTGAAACTGTGAAAAAATGCGTAAAATCGCCAAAATAAAGTTTACTGAATGCAATCATTAAAACTATACTGGACACTGTTATTAAAATGAGCCAAAAAAGTTTATCTTTTAAAAATGAATTTCGCAAAAAAAATTTTGGCTTTAAATTGTTTTTTGATGAATCAAAAATGGCGTTTGTTTCATCGAAGGTGAGTAGTTTTTATAATTTTTAATCAAATATTAAGAAACGTTTTATAGACAGATTTTTAATTTGACAGATCCGAAAATAAATGTGACAAAATTTTAGAAAATAATAATATTATTATTTTGTAACTAGCTTTTATTGACTTATTGGATGACAAAGGGGATTGGGAATGAAACTACAGCAATGATGTGTTGTAATAAATTTTTTTAACTTGTCGATTTTAAAACAATTTAAAAGATACAAATAAGAATGATTTAAATTATATAAAAAAAAAAGTCTTCAGTAATTATTGCAAGAAAAATATTTTTAATGGCTTTTGTATTTATATAAGCCATTAATTTATTTTTAAAATTATTCATGCTATATATTAATAATAAGTTTAGTCTAGATATTGTTAATGAATAAAGCAATAAATGTTTTTGTATGCTAATCTTGTATTATATATTTATTTATTGCTTTTATATATTCATTTATTGTGTAGTGTATGATTTATAAATTTTTTTTGTTGTGGTCTTTAACAATAGCTTCATAGTTTTTCAATGTGTGTTGTTTTTCGGCATTATAAAATTTCCGCTTGATTAGCTCTGCTGTTGCAATGTTTTTTTTTTTTTTTTTACCAATATTAGAACAAATAAATTATTAGTGTAAAAAGGGATTGTCTTACTGTTTTCATTGTGGTTTGAGTAGGGCAGAGCTACGCTAGTTGAACATAGAGGCAAGTTAAACAAGTAAACTATCAGAAAAACTAAGCGCCGAATGACAAAACATTTGATGGACAGTGGTAATGCAGTGCGAAGCAAAAGTTTGTTGCGCGGCGGTCAAAAAATTCATCAGCACTTTTGTTTTTTTGGTCTAAAAAAGTAAAGAAAGATTTAATTTTTTCTCTGACAGTTTATTAAATTTTTATCTGGTATGGCTTAAGTGTTGATCTTTTATAAACTTATTGGACTTTTGTTTCTAATAAGCTCTTTCCAGGATGTTTATTGTGGTTTTTATCTTCGACCATATAAACTGTTTATATGGTCGAAGGTTTTTATAACCTAACTTATGTGTCACCTCGTCTAGTCGGGGTGAGTTGAGCAGGTTTAGAAGCATAAACAAAACTGCATTATCAAACATAAAGAAACAAGTTATATATATATATATATATATATATATATATATATATATATATATATATATATATATATATATATATATATATATATATATATATATATATATATATATATATATATATATATATATATATATATATATATATATATATATATATATATATATATATATATATATACTTTATATATAATTAGTAAATAGGCCGGGTGTATAAAAAAGCAATTGTTTTTACACAGCATTTGCTCAGCATTACTTGAATAAAATTTTTACTAATTTTCCTGAAATTTATAACTCACGTAAAGCTCAGCAATGACTCAGCGTTTTTGGAGTAAACTGCTCAGCTTTACGTGAATAAAGATTTGAGCAATTTTGGTCAAATTTTTTTTATGTATATGAGAGATGGGCAATACCACGGCGGAAAATGGAAAGTAGTCAAATTTTATTCTCTTTTTCGTTAACTTTTAGCAAATGAATATTGGTGTAGACACAAAAGTTCATTTAAAATATATCTTAAGTACTAAAATTATTTTATTTTTTTTATGTAAAAAATATATCTTAAGTACTAAAATTATTTAAGTCATTTTTATGCTCCCGAATGTTTTTCTCATTGCCACATGATAAAAAAAGTATCGTTATAAAATGTTATTTTAACCATGAATTTATTTGCATAATCGGAATTAATTTAGCGTGAAAATAGTGCTAACATATATATTTCATGAAAATAACAAAAAAACTTTTGCAATATTCATGTAACGTTAGTTAACAAAAACATGATAAAGTTTTGTTTTTTCTAAAATTTAGCTAAAAACTTAAGTTTTTTAATAATCTATGCGAAAGAATATTAAATGTTACGTTTATACATTTAAAGTTTTGAATAGCGATGCTTAGTTAAAGCATATGTTTATTTCAAATGTGTATAACGTAAGTTAAAACTACATACATTTACTAAATTTTTGGCGCTTTTTCGTTTTAACAAATTTTTAAACAAATACTTAAAAGTATTTGTTTACAAAACAAATTACTTCACTTATTTCGTCGCGTTGGGTTGACAAGGTTCAAAGTGAAACTTTTTATATTATGAGAATTTATGATAAATAATCTTTTTTAAATGTAAATTAAATTTATTTTGTTTTTTTTATTTGCGTATGTATTCTTATTTTAGCTGACATATAAATATACTTAAATAAATAAAAATAAGAACATTTCAATATTTTTATTTAGGCATTAAGAAAAAAAGAAAAGAATAATTTGCTATTGACCTAATATAAAAAAATCAGTTAAAACCTTTTTTTGTTTATGATTTAGTAAAATAAATTGTTTGTAAATCCAATGGCCATCATAAAGTACGTCACCTTATATTTTTCAGTTCTCAACTCCTTCTCTCCTGTCACAAACGATCACAAATACCTGAACATATAGGATCACATACACCCCTCTCCCTACTAAACTGTGATAGTAGTTTTGACGTCAAAAATATTTTAAAAGATTTTAAATGCAAATAATTTGCATTCTAAAAATTCAACATAATGAAAATAAGGCAATGCATATAAACGAAAGAAGTGTAGGTAAAAACTTCGACAAACCAAAGATTGTCTTATTTAAATGACTAAACGAATAAAGGTAATACTAAAATAATCTTTTAAAATTGCTCTTGGTCTTGCGGAAAAAATGTTTCTTTTTTCTTTAAATTAAATTTTAGTAGGTTAAATTATTGTTCTAATAATCAAAAAACTAAAAAAACAACTTTAAGTTCACCGTACAAGAGATCTGTTAAATTTAGTAAAAATTGCTTAACTAACCCCTCCCTATGATACATCGTACTAAGTATTTTGTACTGAAAATATATCGGGTGGACACGAAAAAATCCGGTCAACTTTAAATTTCTCTAAAATCACGAATGCTTTTTATTTCTTTTATTTTTTTTAATTAAACGTTATTTCCTTATCTTTAATTGTGTTGATAAACTTTTGTTTACAAATTAATTATTTACAAATTGTTTCGGAAACAAATTAAGGTGAGTAACAATATTTCGATTTTTTTTTTCAAAAATCCGTTGACTTCATCGCTTAACATACAAATGTCCCAAAATCTACAGTCATAGATATTATAAATAAAATCTACAGTCATAGATATTAGAAATAAGTTTAAGACTACTCAAAGCTTCGAAAGAAAACGTGGAAGTGGAAGAAAGAAAACTTTTCATAAATCCAAAAAGGTAAAGTCTTAGTTCAATTCCAAGAAATCCGAACCGGTCACAGCATGGTCTAGCAAGAAAGTTTAAAAGTTCGCGTTCTTATATCAAAAAGTACTTAAAAATGCTGGAATTAAAGTATTTTATAAAAAAATACACATAAAAGAAGCTTGAATGGTAAAATTAAAGGAATTCGACGAGCAAAGAAGTTGATTAAAACAATTGCGAACAATGTATATGCATTTTTGAAGACGAAGAAACATATTGCAAGGCAGATTTTCTACAACTTCCTAGTCAGAAGTTTTACAATGAGAACAAAGATAAACCGGTCAATGATCAATTTAAATATATTTGACGAGAACAATTTGCATTTAAGTTTCTTGTGTGGCAAGCAAGTTGAAGCTGTGGTATGCAAGTTGAAGCTGTGGTATGCAAGTTGAAGCTGTGGTATGCAATCTGGTATGCAATCCTCACTAAGATGATCTTGATCGGCAAGTCTCTACACCAAAGAATGACTCCAAAAAAGACTTTTGACATTTATGAAAAAACGCAAATACAGATGTCTCTTTTCGCCAGATATTGCTGCATTTCAATATTCTAAAAATGTTCTACAGTGGCGTAAAAATAATAATGTGAAATTGTTCCTAAAGATGCGAGTCCTCCAAATCATCCTGAAGAACACAAGATTGAAGATTTTTGTGCAATAGTTAAAGGAGTTCTTCGTAAGACAGGTAGAGTAACAAAAAATAAAAAAGACTTTCAAAAAAAGTTGAACAATGCCACCAATAAGGTAAAAACATATAAAATTCTTTTAAACAGCCCATCAAGCCCCTTAAAATTAAGTTGAATACCTAATTAATGTAAACAAATTTAATATAAAAAAATCGAAATATAAAGCATTTATGGATTTAGAGAAATATCAATTTAAAGTTGACCGGATTTTTCCATGTCCACTCGATAGTTCAATATTAGTCTTTAGTATTTACTTAGTAAGAAGTACTTAATTACTCAGTAAGAAGTTACATAGTTTTTTAAGTCCATGTTAAAAAGTTACATAGTCTTATAAGGGTTTTTTTGTTTTTTTAATAAATGTAATAAAGAAATGTTTTCTTGGTAAATTTTTTGTGTGACAGATTCTTAAAAAATGAACGCACTTACAGAACTAAAATAAATACATCAACTTTAAACAATAACAAAAAATAGTGATAATAATAATAATAAGAATAAATATATATATATATATATATATATATATATATATATATATATATATATATATATATATATATATATATATTTAAAAAAAAAAAGTGATACACGACAAACATATTGTTTGGGCGTGGTTTTCTTTACTAAGACCCTAACTGACGTTTTTTTAATTTTTGATATTTAAAATATTAACATTTTTTTAGTAGTAGCTTTGAGTTATGGCGCTTCACTAATACATGCTTGGGAAAGATTTTATTCAACGTACTTTATATTGAACGTTCTAAATTTATTCAACGTACTTTATATAGAACTCAAACGAAAACTTGGAAAATGTAAAAGATATTTAAAGATCAATATTTAGGGATATAAAATTGAATAATGATTGGATGAATAAAAAAATGAATGGATGTTTGAAGAGTTTAATTTGAGAATTGATGAACCTAAAGCTTGTTATGATGAAACTTTAGTTAAGTTACCTAATCTCAATTAAATGTAATGACCCAATTGATCTGAGAAAAATTAGAAACACTGCTATGAAACTTGTAAAAAAATTGTTAGAGAATTGGTTCAAATTACAAGCTTTAATTTGCAAAGCTTGTAATTTGAACCTGACAACTAAAAACTTGTAAGCCAAAAAATTTTAGAAAAAATTGTTTATAAGCAGTTTATAGTGATGAATAGTATACTCAATTCTTATACACTTCTTTTGTATCTTTCATACCAGCATTATAAATTTGGCTTGCTTCTGAAAACTTTTTAGAAAACAAGAAGTAGAATTAATGTTTCTTTATAAAATGATTTAAATTTGAGCAATTTCTTTAAAAGTACACTGACTTTAAATAAATATTATTCCGGAGTTTTTAATATTGTATGTTATTTTTTGCTTTCTTGAAAGCAAAAAATACTTAAATGTTTTATTTTGGTAACAAAAATATAAAGTTTATTGTTTTAACATAAAAGCAGAATGTTGTTTGAGTTTGATTTTCGTTCTACAAAATTTCTAAAATGACAATAAGACTATTTTTTTCATATTTAAGTATCAAGTCCTCATATATTTAAATTTATTATGAAAATATAGCACAAAAAAAGTATATATTTTTTCAAACTCATGCTGTTTTGAGTTTTAATAATTACCTCAAAGAATCATCAAGACTATTCATACTTTGGGATTGCAAAAGAAATTGCGATCTGTTTCTCTTCATTTCAAAATTTTCAACCTCTAAAAATTTTTACAAAAATTTATAGTATAATCATAATTACTTGTTAACTGTAAATTAAAAAATCGCATTAAAAAATAAAAAAAGTTTTATTTTTTATTTTTTACCTATTTCACACCACACAGCTGTTATTCAAACTTTAAAGTCTAAAACTGTATAAAGAACGTTTCGTCGTTGACGAATATATTCAAATGTAGGATATAATATATAGTATTAAATATAGTTTTAATTATTTAAATATCTTGTTTATCTATCCGCTCTAAACCATTCTGAGTGGATTGCTTCCTTTTTTTATTGGTTTCGGGTGAATAAACACAAAATGGGTCACTATAATTATTTATTTATAATTATATTTTTAATTTAGCCGTAGAAAGTTAGAATTTATAAAATAATATAAATAATAAAACAAATGGCTGGAACAAGAAGAAGACATCAGTTTGTCTTATCACCGAGCCCCATTGTGACTTCATTACAGTTCGTTTTTTGCAGTAAAGTATAAAATCGTGATAAATGCTTGTGATAAAATATATATGAAATGTGTAAAACTACGTTCCACAATTGATAAAACTGTTAATATATAAATTCGTTTTGTAAAGTATATATAGAACAAATAAAAGCAAAAGCAAATAAAAGAAATAAATTGCGCTAGTTTATATTTTTTTACTAAAAAAGAAAAAGAAAATTTAAGTCCGTAGATAATAAAAAGCGCTTTGATTTAGATTTAATGAGACATGTTTTCTAATTATATAACTGATCTTTTTTTTTTCTTCATTAGTAAAATTATGGTTAATACTAAATAATCTGTTTGTATTTGAGTTAATTATTATTGTTGCATAGTTATTATATTATTGTTTATTATATACCCAATACTATTTAGATTGCGCCTATTAGACCCTCGATGGTGTTAGTCTATCGATTGATTGTTTCAACATATCTTTTGTTTATGATTGTACTGAGCATGTCCTGGAGAGGCTCTCTTTTGAAATGGCTAACATATATGACAAGCATCAATTACATCGTGGTTTTTGTTTACTTTGTATCTGCGCTTTTAGCAAGTTGTTCAGCACTATTTCGTAATAAAGTTTTCGTAATAAAAAAGGGAAATAATTCTGTAGAGTTTTCCCTTGTAAATAAAAAAGCCTCTAAAAAAAATGGTGCCAAAAATAGGGATGAAGATTTAAATGGAGTAACAGTAGATTCAATTATTTCAGGAATAGAAGAAAACTATACAAAAAGAATGAGCGTTGTCTCTGTACAAGTCAACCAAACAACTCAACGCGCCCAAAGTAACCAGTGTGAAAACAACCTACCAACAATATATAAAGTTCATTGGTTCTTTTCTGCGCTTACTTTGAATATGTCGTTAATTGTTACATTAGTATATTGGTTACTATTGTTTCGCACTGATCGCCTTCCAACTCCTCTGGCTTGGTTTTTAAACATTGATCGTCATCTTATTATGCTTGTTTGGGTCATTATTGATCATGTCATAACTAAAATACCTATTCGGGTTCTTCACTTTGTGTACCCTTCAACTCTGTTTTTGCTTTATAATATATTCAATATTGTTTACACAAAACTAACAAAAATTATAATTTATCCTATTGTTAATATTGATAAAGAACCTGTTATGACTGTAGGACTTGTGTTGGCAGCAAGCTTTTTATGTGTGCCTATAGTACAGGTATTTTTATATTGGATAATATATAGACTGCGAGAAAAACTTTTGTAAATTTTTATATAACCTCAATTTTATAGACTAACAAGTGCTTTATGAAATGTACTGTTTCTGAACTCTATTTCCGCCTGTCTCCCGTTCTTTCGCGTGCTTAACTCAAAGGTGGATGGGAATAAAAGGGTTGGTGGGAATTTCATACCAGATCTATTAAACGGTAGGGTTTTAATAAAAGGGTGGGAGGGAATTTTTTTAAATCTAATTTCAATTTATTCAGTTGGCGTATAATCAAAACCTTATTAATCCAAAATAATTTTTTTTATCAGCTGTTTCATCATAATTTCAATAGAACTTAATTTGTTTATATAATTTTTATACTATGGTGACGAATAAACCAAAAGTTTTCAACAAATCTTGTAAATCAAGATTTAAAAGATTTTTTTATTGGCTGACGATTTTTTATTGATAAAAAATCTGAATCTTATAATTAAAACTGCGTCAAAGAACATTCTAGTTTTCACTTGCTATAGACCACCCCGATGGTAACGTTCAATGCAGTAGCTAGGCTACCCCACACCCACCAAACGGGGGTCCAAGTAATTTTAGGGGGCACATTTTAAAATTTAGGGGCTCTTTTGCAAATTTAAGGAGCTTTTTTTTTGCTTTTTTTTTTTTTGGTGATACCTAATAAAATTTTTTTAAGATTTTGAGGCACGAATGGTTGGTTTTGGGCGGAAGGCTTCGAACCTACTAGCCACGGTACTGGTAACATTATTAAATTTTCAAATTTTATTAAACATATTATTATAAAAAATAAAAAGCGAACAAAAACTATTTATAATAGAAGATAAAAACAAAAATGTTCTAAAGTACAATGAACACGCCATTACTCAAAATTTCTTTGACAATTTACTTCTGGTCAGCATATTTCCTTTCATCAACAAACAGACTAATGTAATTTTCAATTCCATTGTTGCTATTGTCAATATATTAACAAACTCGATACAACATACTAGAGATGTCGCGAATAGTGGTTTTTCCAATACCAAACAATTCGGCTTGGTGCACGATTGAAGCACCGAATATTCGGCTGCCGAATATTGGGTGACACTTACTTATTTTATCATTATAGTTAGTTATTATACATTAAACATTTTTAACTATAGTTATGTATAAAAGTCACACTCTTCAAACTATTCCAAAAGATTAAAAAAATAACTAGCTTAACATGCTCAGGTATATCTTGCATTTCTTGCATTTCTGAGGTAATTTCAGAAGTTGCTATAGATAGCACAAAGAACTCCAAACTTATTAAAAATGATATTTTTACTACAATCTGAATTTCAAGCATGGTTTAGCTTTAATAGGAATCTCAGTTATATGGTTGTCTTTTTTTATGGGGAGACTGAATAAGTGCGAATTTCATAAGTGCAGTGCAGTGTAGTTGCAAAAACTAGCAAACTGCAAACTGGAATCAATGAGAATTGGCATAGGTGAGTCAAAAGAATTTGCAAACATTGGCATATATGTGAATCGCCATTAGTGCGAAGCAGTTGCAAAGATTGACATTAGTGCAAATACTATGCTTAGGTTTTCAAATTCTATTGGCGCATTTATGCCAGTTCACACATAATCCAATTTATACTTTGCACTTATGCCAGTTTGCACTTATAGCAGTTTTTCAGTTTAGCACTTATAACTGTTTTCCATTTATGCAAGTTTGCATCTATGCCAATGTTTGAGTATTCTTTTGGCGCATTTATAACAATCCTAACTTATGCCATTTTGCACTTAGGCCAGTTTTTGCAACTGCTTCCCAGCCCCGGTGTCTAGTAGCACTGTTGATAATTTATTTCCACTTTGTAAGAAAAAGAAATGTAAATAAAAAACAATAAAAAAATGTAAAGAAAATATGCACATATATGAAGATGTGGAAAGAAAAGTCAAATTGCAAATGAAATTAGTTTTTACATGAAACTGTTTGCTTAAATTAAACAGCAAACCCTTACAAATTATGGTCAGAAAACAAAAAACATTATCCATAAAACTTGCTAAATTTTTCTAAATTGTATTATTTGCCTGTGGCAATGTTTTTTTCATTACAATCTGGTATTCGGTAATCGGTCTAATATTTTGCAATACTCAGTCGAAGATCGAATAGTAAAAAAAGTAGCCAAAAAGGCTGAATACCTAATAGTCACCGAATATTCGTAACATCTTTAGAACATATATCTCTAAATTCAGGATTAGTTAAAACGGATATTTCAGACCATTTTGTATATTTTTTTTTGTTTCAACTGCAAAAATTGATAATTTAAAATTTTTATGTTTTTAAATAATTAATAATGAGCCCTTTACTCCAAAATTTAAATACTTGCTATCGACGTTGAATTGGGAAGAAGTCTACAAAGATTATAATTTTGGATACACAAACTTTGCTTGCAACAAATTTATAGGTATTTTCTAATTACAATATAATGAGAGCCAAAAAAAAGAAACAAAAGTAAGATATCTAAGTTGGTTCACACAAAAAATAAGAAAAACAAAAACTTTACGTAAAATATCTAAAAAATAGAAGTGAATCCAACTTATCTATTTACAAGCAATACAAAAATCTGTTTGAAAAATTAAAAACGATTCTAAAAAATCTTATTATTTCAAGCAAATTTTAAAATCAAATGGAGATTTAAAAAAAAAAAAAAGACAAAATAACAAAAAAAAAAAGTTAATTCGAATAAAATGCTTTCTAAAATAATGACTAATAAAAAATTTATTATTGTGAGGGGTAAGTTCAGACCAATTTACATTGGTAATGATCTTGCATCTAGAATTTAATGTTTGAAAAATTTTTTTTTTAGTTACTTAATGGTCTTTTCTTTTTTTTTTTTACTTTTTTTATTTTGCGTGCCGCAAGAAGTCCTTACGATCACAGAGTACCGCGGAATCACAATGTACCGCGGAAGAGCATTTGAAAAGAAATTCTCGCTTCATTCCTTAACAATTTTAAAAAACTTGCCCAGAGGTGGCGTTGAACAACGGATCTCTAGTTTCTGTAACAAGCGCGCTAACCACTGCGCTACGGCTGCGCTACAGCTGCGTTACGGTTGCTCAATCTCTCACTGCTCCTTAAACTTCAACGAATTAAAATAACTCAAACTCGAAATCAAATCTTTCAAAAGAACCAAATCCCCAGGTATTGATGACACCTCTTGTAAAGTAAAACAAGGTGTTTTTGGGTAGATAAGTGACCCTATTTTTCAATTTTTTGCTAAAAACAGGTATCTTACCAAAAAAGTTGAAAATTTCTAAAGTCGAACGAATATACAAATCAGGAGAAACATATTCTTTAAATAACTATGAACCAATCTCAATCCTTCAAAACTTCTTAAAAGAATAGTCTAAAATAGAGTATATAAATATTTAAATTCAAGCAAAATTAAAAATATAGGCCAATACAGTTTCCAAAAGCGTCATTCAACAGAGCCTGCAGCCCTTAATCTAACCAACAAGATTAGCAAATCATTTAAGAATAAAAAATTTCCATTAGGGATCTTGACTGACACGTTAAAGTTGTTTGACACCGTCGGTCATAAAATTTTTTCTTGAAATAACAAAAAAATATAGTTTACAAAATTAAGCTTTAAAATGGCTCAAAAACTACCTTATAAACAGGCAACAGTGTGTTATTATTATATATACACTGCGCAACATAATGGTAAGACACCCCAAAAATATTATAAAACTCTATTATACATTTATATTTAAAAACTAATTTTTATAGTAAATTTATTTTAAACCTAACTTGCATTTTATTAAAAAAAACAACAGTTTTTTTAGTGAGACAAAATTATAAGAAACTTTTGGAAAAAGTTCATATAAATTGTCATTTATATAAAAAGACGTCTCAATTTTAAACAATCAATAGTGGGTACTTTTACCTTTTTTTTAATCACTTTAATGATTCTACAACTTTTAAGAGTCATACAACTTTTTTTATGTACAAAATTTCAATTGCATCCCATGCAAATGCGATGGATGATTTCAAGTCAGCTAGTGAACTATATTGTTTACCACCTTCAAATACTATATATAACAGCTGTGCCCAAGCACCCTCAATAATTTTTTTCAAGCATTTTCAATAATGTTCAGGTCTTGAGACTAGCCACTTCAATGTTTCAATTTTAATGCTATTTAAATATTCCTTTACTATCTTAGCTGTATGAATGCTAGCATTATCTTGCTGAAAAACAAAATTTTCACCACCAATTACAGATGCTTCACGTCTTGAAAATTCTTGAACAATTAAAAGATAATCCTTTACCTTCATTTTTCCGTTAATTAAATGAATTTTTGATTTATCATGATACCCAAATGCACACAAATCATTACACCACCAGCAGCACCACCCATTTGACGTCGTTGCAGTGTTACTAGTTCTTTAAGTAATTCATGAAAGTTCATTTTTCAAATTCCGGCCCATCAAGACAAAATCGTTTTTTGTCAGAAAATACTACTTGTTGCCACTCTTCATTCTATGTTACGTGGTCCTTTGCAATAGTTATTCGATTGTTAATGTGATTTGTTGTCAAAGATTTTTGCTGAAGTTTTTTGCGCGAAAGGTGAAAAGCATTATGAATAACTCACTGATCTGTACGTAAATTAGCAATCGCACCTGCTTCTGCAGCAATTGGCTAGAGCTATTGGACGCGCAGTTAATGAAGAATTTGAAGCTTGTCTCAACAACCTTCGTCTATCACGGTCACTTAATGTTGATAAACGTCCGGGACTTTTTTTATTCCATACATATGAGGACTATTAATGTATTTTTTAATCACAGTTCGGCTGCGTCCAATAGCTCTAGCCATGTAACTAACGGAGTGACCCATTTTTGATAAGTTAGAGAGCACTTTTTTCTCATCTGGACTCAATGGTGCAGCACGACCCATTATTAATTTTTTATTTTGTACTTAAAAAAAAACCTGAACCAAAGTTTTGACAGTTCACAAAAGTTTACAGTTAAATAACCGTTTGCGGTGCTCACATCAAATAAATATTCGTAATTGCCCACAACTGCGGTTTGCAAATAAAACGTTTTTTGT